CCACCACCTCTCAATAACAACAGAATGAAGACTAAGTTTAATATGAATTTTGGAGGCTTCAAACCATGGCAGATATACAAAAACAAAAGGAAAAATGGCACATAAAATAATTGCATTAAGTGGAAGTGATTTCGGCTCTCCAATTAAAAGGTAGAGACTGACAAATAGAGAAAAAGTATGACCCAGACTGGGTGTGCTAACACATGCCTGTAATCCCAGCACTCATGAGGTTGAGGCAAGAGAATCATTTGTTCCAGACCAGCCTAAGTAAGGTAAGATCCTGCCTCAAAAAAGAAAAAAACAAAGCCTGACTCAATTATATATGCTGCCCACAGAGATTTTAGATTCAAGACATAAATTGAGAGTAAAAAAGATATTCTATGCAAACAAAGATATTGGCATGAAGAAATGGCAGGAAAACCAAAGAAACCTTATAATTTCTACTTAACTGAAGCTTGGAATGGAGGTCAGAGCTATAAATATATAGGACAACAGAAACCATGCTTTATTAAGCTTTAATAATTAGCCCATATGTCACCAGATACTAGGTATTTAATAAACATTGATCGCATAAATAAATTTATATATGAATTCTCAATCATTCCCATAGAAATAATAGCTAAAAATATAATTTAAAATAAGATCTATGTAGACTATGACAGAGAGACAGCAAAGAACTAAGTCATGGGGAATATGGGAAAGATTCATATTTATGAGGCAAGAGAAAGGAAAGCAAGAGTTAGGATTAAGGAAATACAAGAAAGTAATGGCGAGCAAGGAGGAGTAGACTCTCAAATGCTCGCAGGGCACCCACATATTGCATTAATGTAAAGAGTAAATATAAAGTGTGTTTAACATATATAGATACAGTACTCCCTCTTCATCTCAGGAAATATGTTCCAAGACCCCCAGCGGATGCCTGAAACCATGGATACACCCACATCCTATAGATACACTATATGTTTTTCCTATACATACACACATGCCTATGATAAGGTTTAATTTTTATATGTGGCTCAGTAAGGGATTAACAATAAGAGCTAATGATGAAAATAGAACAATTATACCAGTATCTTACAATAAAATTGCCAATGTCACCTTGTTTGCCCTTTGGAGACATCATTAAGTAAAATCAGGGTTGCATGAACACAAGCTCTGAGACACCATGATAGCTAGTAGTGCAGATGGCTACCACGTGACTAGCAGTCAGGTAGTGTATACACCATGGAGATGCTGACAAGGAAGGGGATGGATGATTCACATCCCAGGAAAGACAGTGGGAGATTTCAGTAAGATACTGAGAACAGCATACAATTTAAAACATGAATGAGTTCTGACATTTTCCCATTTAATATTTTTGGATTTCAGTTGACCACAGGTAACTGGAACCATGAAAAGCAAAACCAAGGGTAAGGTGGTACTTCTATAACCAAAATAATCAACTATTTACATGTCACCTCTTCAACACTACACAAAGAGGCCTAAGCTGGAGTTTTTCTGCTGCTGAAAGGAAACACTTACTCCTCCGGACATTATAAATAAATGGTGTCTATGAGACCTTCAATAGCCTGCAAATACAAGGGATGTTCAGAAGAATCATTCATGATCAGAAGCGCTCTACTTGCTCAGTGTTTATACCTCTTTCTTCTAAATAGCAACTCCACTGTTTCGTCCTATCTGTTCTTTCTTAATGTATACTCAGTCTTTTTCTTCTGAAAAATACTTCAAGTGTCTTGGGTATAGTGCAATAGAGCTTCTGATATGCCAAGAAACAAATGATGCAAAGGATATTGGAAGTTAGAGGGGGATTTTAGCTCTTTTAAGAAATACTTTCTCCAACAGAAACAATGTTTGTGTTAAATTAAGGACATAGGGGAAAAGAAGTGGACAGATGATATAGAAACTGACTACAATTTCATCAATTTATTTTCTGGGACTGTAATGTAATTGTACAAAGATGCCAACTTCTTTCTTCCTTTTTTTTCTTCCTTCTTGCCAAGCTTGTTAACTTTTAACATGTTACCCAATCTGCTTTCTAAGACATATACCATTGTGATGTATAAGCTATTTTCTACTCCAGTTTCTGCTAAATAAGTCAGTGTTCAGGCTCTACATTTGCCAAAAATGAGAAAACATCACAGTTAGGATTAAATGTTTCTTGGTAATTAAGTGCACATCAATGGTGTTAGGTGGTGTGTTTAGGTTTCAGGTGGCCATCTTCCATCCCCCTTCTCAGGAAGGATCATCTGGCTTTTCTGTTACTCAGTTCATGAGGATTCAGATGGCTCTAGAGGTAGTAAAGGAACCAAGCTTGGCCAATCCAATGTTCCAGCACTAAGGAATTTGACTCTTGGCAGAACAGTTGTTCAAAATGATGGTAGCATGCTTTGCCCTGCAGTTGGCCACTCAGAAAAAGAAGTCTCTTAGATCTGGATTCCTGAGCTCCAAAGCTTCCTTGTTCTCTGTCCTTCCTTAGGTGTGCATCATAAGCACTTCCCCCAATTCTGATAACTGTCCAAATCACTCCAATACATCTAAGTTTGTCTCTTCAGTTATCTTGAATGCATTTCTTATGATAATAATGATTTTAAAAATATACCAAGGGCTGGGGGCATGGCTCAAGTGGTAGAGTACCTGCCTAGCAAGTAAAAGACCCTAAGTTCAAACTCAGTACTGCCCCCCCACCAAAAAAAAACAAAAAAACTAACAAACTGAAGTCCACCACTGAGATGCCTTGTAAAGTAGTGGAACACATTTTTATTAAGCATCCTAGAATTTGTAACTTCCAAACAAGAGTTTTCCCATACTACATATGCTTTTCTGGAAACAGATCTTTAATCAATGCCTTTCTTCTTTTTTTTTTTTTTTATTTTGGTGGTACTGGGGGATTGAACATGGGGCCTCAAACTACAACTTATTATGCAAAGAGTACTAGAGCCACATCCCCAGTCCTTTTGCTTCGCTTTTTTAAGATAAGATGCTGCACACTGTCTGGGCCATCATTGAACTGTGGTCTTCCTCCCCTATCTTCCAAGTACCAAGGATTACAGGTGTGCGAACAAGATCCTTTTGACCTAAATTTTATAAAAAAACTAATCCCAGTCCTGAGGGTCTGCCCACATGACCTAAGCACCTCTCAAAGGCCCTACCTCTGAATTCCATCACATTGGGGTTTGGGACTGCAATACATGAATTTTGATAAAAATATTCAGACCATGGTTCATACCCTCCTGTCACAGGAGTGTGCTCTCTCTCTCTCTCTCTCTCTCTCTCTCTCTCTCTCTTAGTAGTAACATCCTTTCCAGCACTTTTCCCCACAAATTTCCTCAACTCAGCAAGACCAGCAGGCTGTTTGGGTTCCCCTTCCCTGCAAAGGCAGTGAGCCAGGGCACTGGAAGTTTTGATGTCATTGACTTCCCTTCTCTTAGGAATCACCATTCAGTACTGCTTGTCCAAAGTCTGAAAACTGTTGTTTCATATACTTTGCCCATTTTCTAGTTGTTTAAGGACAGAAGATAAATCTGGTTCCTATTAGTTCATCATGGTCTAAAAAACCAAAGATTTAATTGCTGTTCATTTAATAAATAGATTGAATGCGTACTGTACATGAGAAATTATGCAGAGTGCTGGGTATAGACTATTGAACTGCAATACATATGTTCTCTGCCCTGGTGTAACCACAGCCTGGCAGGGAAAAACAATAATTAAGTAATCATTCTACCCAATATGCAATATAAGTCATGATAGGCAATACAGGGAAAAGCACAAAATGGGAAAATCTAACTTAGTCTGAGAAGCAACAAAAGTTTCCCAAGATGAGGGCCATTTTGACCAGGATTTGAAGAATGAGGAAGACCCAGTATTGGTGTTCTGCAGAATATTCAAAATGTCTGTGGCCAAATGGTGCCGTTAGGGTCTTGAAGTCCAACCCTTAGATTTCCCAATGCCAAGGCAAGCGTTCAGAGGGTAAGGGCCACTTACAGGCAGCAGAGCAGGGACTGAAACTCAAGGCTCTTCCTACCCTCAGGTCTAGTATTCTGTCCATTCCACTATATTTGCTAAACAAACATAGAGAACACCAGAACATTTTATATAGTGTTATGTGTCATTTTACAGTCTATGATATATTATGGGTGCTACTTAATTTTAGAATTTATTTTCACTGAGAAATAATTACAGCCAAAACTTTATTAAAGACATACTTTTAATTACCAATATTTTTATATATTTACAAATTTGTATGCTGTGAAGTGTAAAAGAAAGGTGCAAAAAAGCACAAAACAGAAAAAATGAACATTGGTGCTGAAGCCAGAACAGCATCCTAATGGCCTGCAAGTGTTAATGCAGCTCCCTAAGTAGCTAAATTACCCCCAGGAGATTCTCATTCAGCAGTGTAAACTGTTAGTGCTCTCAGACATTTTGGGAAATGCATCTATTGCCCCATTCCAAGCTTAATTGGCATAATAAATGTCAATTAAAGCTCCTTTAGGATTTTAAACTGCAAAACTCAAGTGAAACTATGGATGTATAGACTCATACAAGTCTCTTCTAAAAGAGACATGGAATATTTACATTTACCATGGTGACATGGATACACACAGCAACCTTACATTTACATAGAGAAGACATTTCCCCGTGTATCCCAAAGTATACCCCATGAGTGGCTTATAAGCTGTTATGTATGTCAGCACAATTCAGTTTTCTTTCCACAAATATATACAGAGCATCAACAACGTACCAGGACTGGAAATACAGTAGTGAACAAAGTAGACGGGGACGTCCCCCTGATCCAAATAGAAGGGTCCTCTAAGGAGCTACCACTACCAGGAGGCCCTTTGCCATCCCTGATTCTGTGTCTACACATAACTCCTTTCTTAATTTTCACTTATAAGGCTTAAAAGACATTTGTCCAGTGCAAATATAAAACAGGGCTTTAGTTAACCGCTAAAGTTGACAAAAAAACATTTTTTATGTCTTACGTATAGCTCATTAATTTAGGCATCAAAAAATGCCATTTTAGTTTAAGTAGCCCAAGCTGCCAATTGTTTGAAATCATCATCATCTTCTTCTTTCCTCCTGGAAGATGCTGGAACATAAAATGATAAATATTAGTCGTTAGTGTCATTCATACTTTCTGCACAGAAAACAGGAATGAATTAGATAGAAAATTTGTGTGCTTATTAAACCAAATATAAGTAAGTGCTAAAATCGATGGCCCTGGCTATTATTTCAGGAGACTGTGAACACAGGAGTAGAGCTGGGTCACAGACCTGCTCGGGCTCGATGTGCGTGTGCGGAGGCAGGCACGCTGGGCCTTCTCTCTGGCTGAGCTGGGAGAGAAGAAGAAGGCAGCTTTGGAAGCCGGATATTTGTCATCTTCTTATTTAATTCCTCCTGTTCCAATTCTTCAAGTTCTGCTATCAACTCGTCCTGAACATAGGAGAAAGAAAGAATTACAGAGTTAACGTTTCAAGAAGTGGGTTTCCCGAAACACAGTAACAAGAACATCTGCTACCCAATTAATATGTGAGAACCCAGTGAAATGGAATATTTATTTTAAAACTAAGTCTTTGTTGCAACACTGAGCAATGATTAAGAAATGAATATTTTGGGTTGTGCAAATTTGTTGTAGTTAATCTTATAATACTTCAGTAAACAGCCATTCAAGTAATTTGTGCTAGCTGAATATATAATCTCAGTTTCTAGAAAATTTACACCTTGCCTATCATTATTCCAGTACATTCTCTTTTTTTCTCCTGTTGAGAATATGCGGTACTAATTGGAAAAAAATAAATATTTTTATTGGGCTTATGCCATTGAGAATAAAACAAGTACAGTAAAACACAAAGTAAAAAGATTCAAAGATACTGTGGCTCCTTTGTCAACATAACTTGTGTGTGTGTTTGGTTAATAAAACTTCAAGAGAGGTGTGATGCATTTCTTTCTTTTTAACAATGGTCCCAGAAAGTTTGGCTTAATCTATTTTTTACTTTTTCTTTTGTGGCAGGCCTGGGGTTTGAACTCAGGACTTCATGCTTCCAAAGCATGCACACTAGTACCTGAGCCATGCCTCCAGTCCATTTTGCTCTAGTTATTTTTGGAGATGGAGTCTGGCAAACTATTTCCCAGGTTCGGCCTCAAACTGTGATCCTCCAGATCTTAGCCTCCCAAGTAGTTAGGATTACAGGCTTGAGCCACCAGTCAGGCTGGTTTGATCTTAAACTATTCTCTGTCCCAAATCTGTAGAGACAATACTTTCTTGAGACCTTAAGGATGCCAGGTCTGAGATCATGTAAGTAGGTCATATCTACCTAGCTCTGTATGTCCCCAGGTGGAGCACAGCTCCCCTCAGAAAGAGGTTAATCATCAAAACTAAGTTTATCATCAATGGGTTTCTGAAGCTGTCACAATTAGAAATGACCTGGGAGACCCTTATGTTCAGCCAAGCAGAGTCTTCATTCATTCATTCACCCATCATTGAACAAACTTATCAAGAGCTCAGTCCTAGGCAGGTTTTGAACTCAGTACTGGGGTGCAAAGTTGGATCAACACTCCTTACATTCAAGGAGCTTCTTCTTCAATATGGGAGGAAAGCACATAAACAAATATATTAAAGTGAGAGTAAAAGCACCATAGGACCCAGGCACTAGTGGCTCATGCCTATAAGCCTAGCTACTTAGGAGGCAGAGATCAAGAGGATCTTGGTTCAAGGCCAGCCCAGACAAGTAATTTTCAAAACCTTATCTTGAAAATACCCAACCAAAAAAAGGGCTGGCAGAGCAGCTCAAGTAGTAGAGCACCTGCCTAGCAAGGCTGAGGCCCTAAGTTCAAACCCCAGTACATCAAAAAAAAAAAAAAAAAAAAAACCACCATGAGGCAAGAGAAGAGATACTTAAGCCACCCATGCATTGATCAAGTCAGTGAACCTCACATTAGCAGAAAGCTGACTGTCTGACCTCTATTCCAGCCACCACATGTAAAAGAAATAAAATCTGAAGTTGTACAGCATCAGGCCATGTGAAGTAGCATGATCTGTGTATTTGTGTACGTTATGGTTCTCCTCAGAATGAATACCTTGAAGTCCTACTTGTGCTTACAAAAATTAGCAAGAACAATAGCAATTGTAGTAATGACAAAACAAACTAGCCTATGTTGAATAAATGCCTAGAATTGTCCATAGTTCTTGTTACTGACAGCACAAGAGAAAAACTGATGCTTTCTTTAGCAAATATGATGATAACACGGTCATCTGCTCCATCATTTTCAACCGTGAAGTACCAATCTCTTATTTTGTCATTTATGAAGGCATTTTAGAACTTAAGAAACTTTGGAGATAATCCACAGCTTCCATTTTATAGATAAGACAACAAAAAGTCAGAAAAGTAAAGGGATTTACTCAAGTTTTTAGTAAAATGGTAGAACCAAGGAGTCTTTGTAAACCCAGAGCCTGTCCCAATATATCACAACGCACTCTCTGTGTGCTTGTCAGTCTACAGCAGGGGTTGGCAAACTTTTTCTTTAAAGGCCCAGACATCTTAGGCTTTGCAGGGCATATGTCTTCCCATCACATAGTCTTCTTTGTTGTTATTTTCTACACTTTAAAACTGTGAAACCCAGCCTTGTTCATGATCCATACAAAAACAGGGATGATTTGGCCTATAAGTCATATTTTGCCAACCCCTGGCCACACCAATTTTTTGTTTTGTTTTTTGGAGATAGGATCTTGGAAAGTATTTGCTTTGAACCATGATCCTCCTGATCTCTGCCTCCTGAATAGCTAGGATTACTGCACACCATTTTTAAAGGTTATTAACACTCAATTGTCATTTCCTGGAATTCCATAGAGCCACACTTTTACTTGTTGCAGGCATCATTTTTAATACTACGTAAAAGCAAAAAGTCTGCTAAGCTAGCAATGAATCTCTAAGATCTGGGAAGGTTTCTAAACGTGTCCTCCTTCTTGTACACGCTGAAGTTCACAGCGAAGACACCTATGCTACATGTACCATTATAGCCTGCCTGTACTATTGGACTGATGAATCCAAATAGGACATGTGTATTAATAACGCCACTCCACGCTTATTTTGTGTCCTTGCCTGAGTAATAAACAGAGGCAGCCTAACCTCTAATTTAACAGCCACAGAGCATGCTACATCTGCTCCTAGCAGAGTGACACAGTCTGCTTTGTTTGCCCAGATGTGTGAGCACACGATTCCTCATAATGGGGCTATTTATGCTCTACTATTAAAAGTCACTAACTTCACCTAATCACATGCTGTTTTCTTTTTCATTCACAGCTGAAAACTTAATTAGGAAGCTGTTTGCCAAACTATATTAATCTTCCCTTTAAATTAGAGCTACTAGCACTTCATATCCCTCCTAAAAGAACTACATTTCCAACAGATATCATTTACCTTTAAGTATAGCAGGGAAACTGCCTACTATACATACAGGAAGCTACCCATTTCATTATGTCCTTTGTCTACTTTTTAATTTTTATTATCATATTATTGTTGTACTTGGGTACGTTGTGACATTTACAAAAAGCACTTACCTGAGTTAGAATCACCCCCTCCATCATTTTCCTTTTCCCCCTCCCCCATTCTTAGTTTCAACACATCTTTGTTCCATTTTCATACATGAGTACATAATAATTCCATCACATTCACCTCCTTCACCCTTTCCTTCATCCTCCCCTCCAACTGGTACCAGCCCCCAGACAGGACCTGTTTTACCTTCCTGTCCTCCATTTTAAAAAAAGGTATTTTTCTGTGTTTAAGATAGCTATCCAGGGAGTTTCATTACGACATTTTCATGTATGTATGTATTACATCCCGAACTGGTTCTTCCCCTCCATTTTTCTCCTTTCTACCTTCATCCCCCTTCTTATGGTGATTTCAACAGCTTAAAAAGTCTATATTCATTCTTGTATAGAAAATGTATCAACCATATTCACTTTCTTAACTTCCTTCTTTTACCCTCCATCTTCTGCTAGTGCCCTCTCCTTAGCGTGACCTGTTTTTCATTCTTGTTCGTTGTTTAGGTGTCTGTTCATTACTCAATGGATTCTTTGCCTTGCTGTTATACTTGTACATGCATTGTGCTTAAGTCAATGTAACCCCTTCCAGCACACCTCCTCACCCTCACCCTGTGTTGTTCAATAGTTTTCGGCGTGTTTCCTTGTGTCTTGTTCCTACACAGATGTGATGTACTTCATTATTATTCACTGTCTTTCTTTCCTTCTTTCCTCCTCTCTTAACCTCCTCTACCAGCCTCACATTTGGATACATTCTGTATATATTTCTATGTAAACATAATACTGAAGCTACCTCTATATCAACCATGATATCACATTCTTTTATATTGTCACCCACCTCATCAAAGCCATCGCCAAATTGAACCCGTTGAGAAAATGCTTCCGAGATTTCTTGTGCGATATCCTGCTGCTCTGTGATCTCTTGCATCAAGTCATCTATTTTGTCTAGATCCCTGAGAAATAGTATTTTGTTGAGATATCTTAAAATTTTAACTTACAATTATGAATAATGAGTCAACCTAATATAAACTCTTAGCTATTTTCATAGCATAACAAAAATTCCCAGTATTATTATCAACTTTTAAAATAATCTTCATTTTAAAAAACTTAATAATCCTGTAAATGCACATTTAATTTTAAATATATATAACTCCTTACCTTTGGGAGTCATTAGAAATCAAATTACTTTACAGCTAACAATATTTGTAGAACCATTTGGAAATTTTGTCCAACAGGGCATATGTAAAGTTTACATAAGTGTGATTGTGTTTTATCTCTGCAGGAGAGGTACCTTGGTTAATAAGGACCACCATGATTGAGATAAATATGGCAGCTCTCAATAGCCACTCTCTGACAGCATCCCTTTGTGGAAGCTAACCCACTGGGACTAGAGATGTACTTTCTATAGTACCTAGTACTGTAGCCTGACTCCTTGAGAGTTTTCGTATAGTAGTGATGCCTTGGAGATTACTAAAGAGAGCAGGATTAGGCCTATGAAGCCTCAAAGAATCAGTGACTACAGCAAAGGGAATTCAGGTAGCCACAGGACCAGGATGGACAGCTGCTTCAAAGTCAGTTTCCAGCAGCTGAGCCACACTGACCCCTAGGACCAGCAGCCTAAGTCATTCTAAAGGCCAGGTTCTGAACTATTTCTGCAATAGCCTGTCTCCAAATCATTCCTCCAACTCTGCAGCTCAGCCAAACTGATTGGATACAAGTAAAGTGACTGGGTCCCTCATTAAGTAACATAACCACTGAAAGTTTGAGTCCAGTGAAATTATTTTTTTCTGAGTTTCTCAGACTATCTATACATAAAAGCTGAGTGCTTTGACATACTTTCATGTACTAACAAAAATAATGCCTCACCCCTCTCTTACCACCTTTATCTCTAATTTTTATGATGTTTATAATGAACATATTTATTAAAAGGAGTATGAGAGAAGTTTGGAGCTGGGAGTGAATTTTTCTCAAAAGGAACATATGGTGTGATGCTCCTAAGCTAAAGGAAAGGCTAGCTTTGTGAAACATTTAAGCACCCAGCTTACAGCAGCCATGGAGGATTTTGAGTCTGATAAAGAATCTAAGACTCTCTCTGAAGCTGCCAAAATGGTGGCTGATTGTTAGTGAGTTATCAAGCAAGAAAGTGTTGACAAGGTTATCGTCACTGTCCAGTCTCTACCTTCTCCATCTCCTCCCATCCTATGAAAGTTCATCTACATGTCTCAGTCACTGCTCTTTCTTGGGCTCCCTAGGCCAGGATTCCACAATGTCCAATATCCATAAAGGAAGGACCAGGTCCCAGTCATTTATTTCCCACTGCGAATGTAAACTAAATTGTCACCACCTCATCCCTCTAGGAAGATTGGTTATTGAGTGCTTACTTTCCTCCAACTGGGCTAAGTGCATTATATCTAGTATCTCATTGACTCTCTCAGAAACCACATGAAGTCAGTACAATTGTCATCTCCAACTGAAGATAAGAAAACTGAACAGAGAAGAGACAATTTGCCCAAGGTATAATCACCTGTGCAGCTGGGGTTATAAACTAGAAATTTTGACCCTCCAATTACAAAATATGATCCTTATAACTACTCTTTTATGTCAGTGGTTCACAAACATTAGGTAGTCTCAGAATGACTTGAGGAACTTGGTTGAAAACACAAAAGCCTAGGCTGGCAGAGTGGCTCAAGTGGTAGAATGCCTGACTAGGAAGCATGAGGCCCTGAGTTTGAACCCTGGTACCACCAAAAAAAAAAAAAAAAAAGCCCAAACCCTATCCTATGTCAATGAGCTAGAGCTTCTGCACTCTCTTGGACAGCTCTCACAGTGAGTCTAATGCCCACCTATGTTTGACAACCACTATTCTGTGATTCTAACACATTCCCAAGTGTTGACATTGAAGTCTTCTTAAAATTGTAGAACGAAAAAATTTACAAGTGCGTTTCCGGCAATCTTGAAGGACTGAGAGACATTAGGAGCAAAATGAATACCTTTTCTTTCTTCTTTCTTTCTTCCTTCCTTTCTTTTCCTTAACTATAACCTCTAACCTACCTCTGAGAAAGCAATCTATTCAATATGTCAAAGAGCCTCAAATGAGTAAGCCCCGTCCTAGCAAAGAGCAGTTATGATTCAGAGGGAAACCAAAGTCACTCACATGTTTTCATGAACTGCTTTCATTGCTTTAGCTGCAAAGCCCATATTCCTTAACACCTCAGTGTTGGTGTGTGAGTTTTCCAGTGCTTCTCTCTGAAACTCGATGGTAGAAAGGGTGCCATCAATCTGAGTGAGCTGCTTTTCAAACCTCTTCTTTCTCTTTAATGCCTGTAATGCAGCTAAATAAGAGAGAGGCCATGTTTGTAAGAGAAGGGACCAAGACACTTAGTCAGGAGACATTTGCTCAGACCAACCAGGGGCTCAGAATTGCTGATACCTAAAGGCAAAGAGCACACAAATAACCTGGGACACTTATGCATTACTGTCTGTCTACCCTATCACCACACCAACCATGGCTCCCTCAAACATTTTGTTATTCTTTCTTTGAAAAATCTGGCAGGTATAAGATGGAAAGTCAATTTTCATATTCCATAAAAGTATGCCACAGAAACGTTTCAGACAATACTGGATTTTGGAAAAAAAAGACATAAAAATATGAGTGCAAATCATTCAAAAGCAAAATAAACCTTAGCAGAGGAAAGGACCTTAATGGCTATCAATTCTATCCCCATTGCCTTAAAGGCAAGTTTGTTGAAACCCATAAAATGAAGTAACTGTTTAAAGGCAAACAGCTAGTGACAGCTGGAACCAGAACCTAGAGTGATGAGCTGCATGTCTTGATTTTAAATGATTAAAACATGGCCATGAATGTTACATCTACCATGAGTGTCCATGAAATCAACGCAGCTGGAGTCATGTTTACGAATTAGACATGGTGTGAGAAAAGAGCTTTGCCTTCTGAGAAAAACGATCCAAATAATCCTTCCATTCACACTTTGGCAAAGAAACCCTATTTACCTGCTATGTTCTGAAGCCACAGAACCAAGAGAGTCCTTTTGACTGTGGCACCTTGGAAGGCATCTCCCCCGACAAAATAAAGCCCTAAATGTCCATTTTCACAAGACATTTTAGAAAAGTGCAAAAGATCACAGCAGAAAGTTGTTGATCTAAAGGTAAGTGATAACTAAATGGATTTGGTAAAAGAACTCAAATAGTTTGTGGATTCAGAGGGAAGCAGATAAGTGACTCCAACAGAGATTTTGGAGAAAAGTCCCCTTTAACTCTATTTTGATCAATTTCTTCTTGTAACTGCAACCGATTTATTTATTTATTTATTCCAATTTTTTTTTCATTGGTACATAATCATAGCCATTATATTTTCCTGGTGATTGTTATTAATAATCAATATAACTTTTTCCTCCCTATTTGGCTGCCTGGGGATTGACCATGGTCATAACAACAACGACCAGAGCAGAAAATTCATGACAAACAGATTATTTCAGAGGAAACTACTTGAGCGTGATAGTCTTCACCCTGAAAAGGCATAAGTACCTAAAGACAGAAATTCAGGAAAAATTGAGCCAAAATGTACAAGACCACACCAGGTGTCATCTTTGTTTTTAGATCCATAGCCCATTTGAGTGGTGCCTAGGCAACTGGCTTTGGCTTGATTTATAATTCCTTGAATTGTGCAAAATAAAAATTAACCCAAACGTAGACTTGGATTACATGACATCACCTACATGAGAAGAAAAAGACTTCAAGAAAATAGTGAAAGGGACAGGAGAACAGAGTGAAGAAAATCAGGGGAACTGCAAAGATTAGTGTTAGTGCTAGCAAAAAGCAGACAAAAGATTCTGCAAAGGTTTTATCCATGGTGACTGTGTGAACTTTTCAAGAAAGGATTTATAAACTGCAAAACTTGACAAAACTAGTATCTATTACCCTCTGCTCCATTTTATCCATTTTTCCTTAAATTCCATTTTGTTTTGTATTAAATCATAAAATTTTGTTAAATTTGAGTCTTCTTTTGGTTGTAATTTGCCTGTAATTTTTACATGAACCTCTGTTTCATAATTGGTTTTCATTTGCTTTTTTCCAGGATTCCTATTATAGATAGCATATACTTGAAGTTTATGTTTGTGTGAATGCTTTTAACCTATTTAGATATTCCCTTTTAACTAAGTCTAATTTATCATAACTCACCTAGATCATATTTTTTTACTGTCATCTTTTGTTTTCTGTTTGTTATGCTTTTTTGTCCTCTTTGCCTCCTCCTTTGTTTTCTTACATTTATGCAAATTGATCAAATACATTTGTTCATTTTTCCCTTTAATTGTTGATCAGTTGTATACACTGAGTTTATTCTCTTAATGTATATACTTGTATTTAAAATATGCATGTATAATTGCACAAGTCTTTTAACCCCATTGTTAATCAATATCTATATTTTACTACTTACTATTACCAAACATGATTCTCTTTCTTGTCACCAAAAACTCCACGATTTCTAATTAAAATAATCTGTAATTTCATACCTGTAATCTCAGTACATGGGTGGCTGAAGCAGAAAGACAGAATTTGAAGCCAATCTGGGCTACATAGCAAGTTTAAGGACAGCTTGGGCTACAGTGAAAGACCCTGTCTCAAATAAATCAAACTAGTAATAATAATTTGTAAATTTATTAGTTCCAAATGATTGCCAACTTTTTTGCTATTCCTTTCAGTTTTAAGGGTATATACCTTAATAATTGCATTAAGCTACAGAGTAACAATTTCAAGTTATTTATATCAAGTTACAGTGTTTACTGGTTTATTTTCTTACTATTGCTTCTTATTTTCTACATTGTCCTCACACTTAGATTTCTTTAAATTTAACTAGAGCAGATACTTTTTGTCAGGAAAGTATTTTCAGTGCATAGATATAAATATCAATACTGTGGATACAAACATATAAAGGTGGATAGATACAAATTCTGTGAATACCTGTGGGTTTGTTTCAAACTTAGTTGATACTCTAAATTTTTATAGAATCCTGTTTTCAAAATATTTCCAAAAATATAAAACACTATTCCATTTTGTGTGGGTAGCCAACATTTCAAAAATTTGATCAAAATATTCTCATATCTTTTAGGTAATCTGCTTTTTTTGTTTCCATTCTGGAAAGATTTTATTTTTTTATCTTGAAATTAAGAAATTTCATCAATATAGGTCTAAGCACATGCCCTTTATTATTGTTTTTTCCAACTAAGCATTCAGTGAATTTTTTTTTGTAGGTACTAGGGTTTGAACTCAGGGCCTTATGATTGTTAGGCAGGGTCTCTACCACTTGAACTACTCCGATGGCCCTTTTTTGTGTTGGTATTTTTGAGATAGTGTCTCATTTAGGATTTGGACAGGCTGGCTTCAAACTGTGATACTCCTGATCGCTGCCTTCTGAGTAGCTAAGATTACAGAAGTGAGCCACCAACTCATTAAATACTTTTATTCTGGAGACTCAAGTCTTACTGTAGCTTGGAAAAATCATATTCTACTATTTGTTTTATTACTTCTTTCTCTAGTACTCCTGTCTACCCTTTTCTGAAATCCCAACTTATCTTTAATTATCTACACCATTACCCCTCCCCTACAAACATTCCGTTTTCTCTCTTTTGAAATCCCTCTAAGATAGACATTGGCTTTTACCATCAAAGCTTTCCTTTGGATGTGGAACTTCCCTTATGAGTAGCGACTCTTCCTTCCCACTCTCTCTGCCCACTTGGAGGTCCATGGTTCCTTCAGACTCTGCCCTTTTCAGGTACAACACCACAATTTGAGCCTTTGCTAAATAACTTTTACAATTTAATGATACAACAGTTTTTATTTATTTAATCTGTCCTTTAGGAAAGAACTAAATTAATTTTAAGTCAACTGACTTCAAGCCCTTTTTACAATATCACATGGAAGAGAGGTTCCAGTGACCAAGCTGTATGAGGGTTTTCTCTACCACACTGGGAGAATGTCCAGCTGTTGCTCTGTGCTGTCATTCTGTCATAGTTACTACTGTGTTGTGGTTCCTTATAAAGTCTATTCTACCCCTAACCCAGGCCCAATTATAAACCCTTTGAGGAAAGATAGAGCATCTTAGATCCCTGTTTCCTCCGCACCTGGTCCAGTTCCAAATATATGGTCAAATACAACAAATCTAACATTTATTGAGCATTTTCTATAGGCTAAACTGTTGCTAAGTGTTTTACTTGCATCATGTGCTTTATGTCATCTAACTCTCACAAAAACCCTGACTAGATACTGTCTTCAGGCATTTTACAGAAGATGAAATGAATATATATTAAATGAACGAATGTCACAGTTTTCTGCATACAGTATGAGAACAGCATGGTGCAGTGGAAAGAATATGAATGACCTTCAAGACCAAAGTGTGAGCTTTCCCATGACTGTATAGATGTGTACTCTACGGCAAGTCCCTTTCCTGCTTTGAGCTTCAAGAAACAGGGATTATGTGAGGCTGGGGATTATAAGAATCAGTGATGATTCATGGAAAACACATTATATAATCTCTGTGTTTTATTTAGCAACTAAGTATTATTATCAATAATAGTGATTTATGTAGTAATCTTAGCAAGATGGTATATTTTACTTCCGATGACCACTGAGAAAAATATCACCCATTTTTTCAGCATAACTCACAAGAAAAAACTATTACAAAGCATTTCAGTATTTTAACAGGTACAGAAAACAATGGCGGCGGCCGCAGAGCACCCTAAGAAGCTAACTTCAAATAGACACCTCCCCCCAGCACACCCAGAAGTGGAATGTTGGAGTGTCTCCTTGCATCTTGTCAGGCTGGCTCAGTGCCTACTATTATTTAGAACCCACCCATTGGCCCAAAAGCATTTTTGGGTTTTTTTTCTTCCAGAAAATTTTTTAAGTTCTCCAGTAGGAAATATGACATATTTCCTCATGAAATTAACTACAGATTACTCTTGAAAATCAAGAAACATAATTTGTTATGAAAGAAGTTTTGGAATCTAGACCTATAGTTGAATCCTGCCTTTACCATTTAATAACCTAAGTGTATAATAACCTCAATGTGCAATTTTCACTCTTCTTGCTGATGCATCTTCACCTGAAAAATAATAACCACACCTAGAAGACAACAGAACATTGTGCTCTGGGGGTGCCTACTTCAAATGTGGGCTCCCTCTATCTATAGCTATGTAGCTTTATATAACTACTTAGTTTACTAGAAAATGGGGTGCAACTCATTCAGTTGCCACGAATTAAATGACATAACACACGTGAAGTGTCTAGTGAGTGATTTCACAGGTTATCAAAACCC